TTATTTATGGATTTACCTAAGAAAACACTGACAAAATTATTTTGTGCTTAATAAGAATTAGGTAGCCTACAGGTCTGTCCTTGGGTTTCTAGAGAGGTATTTACAGGGAAAAAAGTAATGCAGGACTACTTTGAATATTTCTGTGTCTCCACTGTGTCATGTCCAAAGAATTTGTGACATAGAATTTCAATCAACACAGGCATTTAAGTCATCCTTTCCAAGGTAGAGAGAGAATTAGATCAAATTATTCTTTTCCCTTCTCAAATTTCAGTAAAAACCTTTAACAAGATGTAAAGAGTTCGACATCTCTTAGCAACAAGGAAAAGTAGATAGAAACAGAAACAAACAAACAACAACAACAAAAAACAGCATTCTTCAACACAAGTGTACTGTTGGGATTACAACATCTAAAGTTGTGGCCAGTACAAAACAGCTTTTCCTGGACGTTCAAACCTCAGAGGTAACTTCTACATCAGTATCATCACTTAAGGACTTCGAGTCCTTTAGGTCATCATTTTTTTAACTTTAATAATTTTTTTGTCACTTACTTTCTCTACTTCCTTGACTTGCTTGCTAAATATAAAGAGCTTCAACTTTTATTTAAACAGCCAATTACTCTGATACTTATTTAGAAAATACGTCATCTATAGTATCTGAAACAATGATAGTACCTATATCTTGAGCCATTACATATAGGTGTATCATCATTTCTTAAATTTCCTAAAAATCCCACCAAGGTTTTTCCTAAAAGCCATCCCATTCCTCAAATCCCAGGTCCAGCCTACATGTCTCATCTTGGGTTAAATTTTCTGTTGAATCTTCATCTTCTCTAGAATTTCTGTGTTTATGCTCTGAGGTAGAAAGTATGGGSATTATTGCCTTCTTTGGATCTTTTTCTGGAATTGGAACTTTCTTTTGTACTTGGCTTCAGTTGGTCTTCGTTTGTAATCCTATGCCAAGAGGGGAAGTCTGAATAACATCTGTAGTAGCAGTGATTCTTCTTAGCATATCATAGAGAGGGTGAGATCTTTCTCAGAAGCACTGACATTCTAAAAGTTTTCCCAAAAGATCTCTACCACAGTATACCATATCTGCTCCTATTGATCATAAACTGCTTTACCATTATATATACTGGCCTAGATATAGTACATTACCTCATTATCAGTGAACATTTCTCCTTGGGTATCTGGTCCCTGCAAAATCTTCAAGAGTGGCAGTTTACTGATGATTTCTAAAGAGATCCTGTAAGCACTGTCAGATGTTGAATGCTAGGCAGAAGTGGAATATGATGTCATTTTGGCAGTGAAGAAATTGCAGTCTATTGATAAAATTTACAACTGCCCCAAGAGTGGCTCCCTCTCTGAGCATGGAGGAGGTGGGTGGCAGTTGTAGGTTCTAAGACCTTGGCAGCATTTTGAAATCACCTATCTTTAACTTTTTGAGGAACTACCAAAGACATTTTCCAAATGTATTTTCCTTAATGGATGAACTATTTTACATGACTTTCAGCAATGTCCATTGTTCCAATATTTCTATATCYTTATTAATACTTGTTACTTTCCATTTAAAAATTATTATTAGTGCTTTCATAACAGTGTGAAGTGATACTTCATTGTGATTTTGGTTTGCATTTCCCTAAGACCTAAATTCCACAATTTTCCTGTGCTTGTTCRCCATTTGTATATCTTCTTTGGAAAAAATATAATTTTATGAGAACTGTGATGATAATATTCAACTCGATGCCTCCTGTTTTGGTTAAATTTCTTTTGATTGTATTCCCAGTGTTTGTTCTTATAACAGGAATTGATAAACTGGCCCATGAGCCACATCTAGCCTAATTTTACGTGGCCTGCCAACAGCATCATTTTTATATTTTTTAATTGTTGGGGGGAAAATCCAAAAGAACATTTCATTATGCATGAAAATTATATGAAATTCAGATTTCAATATATATAAGTAAAATTTTACTGGAATATACAGATATACCCTTTCATTTACACATTGCCTATGACTGTTTTCATGCCAGTGGCAGAGTAATTTTAGGCCTGCAGTGCCTAAAATTAATTACTATCTGGCTCTTTACAAAAAATTTACTAATCCTGTGTTAAAAGTTCCTCCTTTTTAGCTTCTGATCTTTTCACAGCCCAGAGAGTAATGAGTGAGGAGATCTTAAAATGGATTACTACTGGTCAGTTTATTTCTCCTGGATAAGCAAACATTTTTTTTCTCTTGATAGATAAATTCCAAGGTTAAATTTTTAATAATAGAGACCAAATATGAAAGTCCTAAAGTAGCACTTAAATTTTAACTATCATTATCTCTGAGTATCTCACATTAATAAGATTACAACTCTCAAAGCAATTATTTGTGGTTAAAATAAGGGAACTTAATAAAATCACTTCTAAAATCTGCCTTGCCCCCCAATTTTGAAATATTGTGATTCTAACATTAACTGTTAGAATTTCATGTTTCTCAGTAGTTGAACAGAAGTATCCCATATTCCAGAATGTATCTGTGTCCTTCTGTAGCTAAATTATATTTAAAACTTTTTACTGTTTGTAATGGAGCATTTTCTTATACTTTAAGCTTCCTTTGACTTGGGGAGGTAGGAGTGGAGTGCTGGGAATTGAAATCAGGGCCTCTGTGCTAAACAATTTATTTACCCTTGAGCTACATCCCTAACCCAACTTTTTTTTTCTTTGTAATGAGACTTAAAGTTGTTTAAGYATCCAAATTATAGTGGTTTCAATAATGTGTATTTTGTTAGAAGATTGTTAGTCATAGTCACTAATGTGCCTTTTAAGCACATGCTGACTTAAGAAAATGGCTTTTAGATCAAAGATACAAAGAGGTAAAGAATATTAGGCTCTATCATGCCCCTCCAATTTCTATAATAGTCAAACTGAATGTACCCAAATATTAATCCCATTATGGAAGCTCTCYTTTCTTATGTTATGATAGGATATGTAATTTTATAGCTAAGGGAAACTGAATGTTTAAGAGCAAAGTTCAATTCATTTCTTAAAAAATGACTTCCCATTTTGTAGCTATTGAGTTATAGATGAGATTTCATTAAGGCAATAGCCTCAAAACCCTAAGGGTGCTTTCAAGTAGAAACGAACATTCCCAAATAAGTAGATGCAGTGCTCTTGTCCCTCGAGGCCTTTCACCTCTCAAGCCAACCTAGCTGCTGTGCTTCCCAAATACTTACCTTCTTTGATGAACATGTAAGGCTCTCTTTTGAGTGAAGACATCAACCTCTAGCAGCACCAGGCTAAAATACAAGTCCTGGATATTTATTGCTTTCTGTTTACTACTTGATTGGCAGTTGTTAATGAAAAGCTCATTCTAATAAAGTTACTGTGTTTAAATGTTTGTTATTAGAAGTTGTGGGTCAAGTGCTATTTTATCTTTTTCAGCCCATCATATAAGAAGTTTGTTGTTGCTGCTGCAACAACATGAGATTTATAGTAGCTCTAATAGTTTTTACTTTTATCATTATCAAGAATTTCTACTCTGCTTTCAACCCAGGGTTACAACTGGATTTATTCATATCCCCAAATCTTATTTTAGTATTTTCTATTACCATATGGCCTGTGCTTATTCTAATATGGAACTGAGGTATTCAGAAATAAGCATAGTTAGATATTGCTTCCAGGTCTTTTAGTCAGCTTTCAAAAACCATGATGCCCAGGTTGCACTCCATTTCAATTAAATAAAAAAAAAAATGTCAGCTATCAGTATTTTTTAAAGATCCCCAAGAGATTCCAGTAGGCAGTAAGGTATGGAAACCACTGGCTTTACTTATCAGCCATATAATAGCTTAGAGGTTCTACCTAGTTATATATTTACTCCTTGGGATTAACTAGGTGTTATTATAATGCATTTTAGCTACTTGAAAAAATATGTTATATAAACATATTATAATTATCATTATTGTTACTGTAATTATCTAAACTWTAGAGAAACTTGTAGCTCTTCTATATTATAGAAACGTGCCTGAGCTCAATTTTTTTTTTATTTTTATTTTTTTAAAGAGAGAGTGAGACAGAGAGAGAGAGAGAAAATTTTTTAACATTTGTTTATTTTTTCTTAGTTCTCGGCGGACACAACATCTTTGTTGGTATGTGGTGCTGAGGATCGAACCCGGGCCGCACGCATGCCAGGCGAGCGCGCTACCGCTTGAGCCACATCCCCAGCCCCTGAGCTCAAATTTTTATCCACCTCCTTTTTTGGTCTGGTACTAGGGATTGAACACAGGGATACTGTACCACTGAGCTACATCCTAGCCCTTTTAACTTACTTTTTTTATTATTATTTTTAAAATTTTGAGACAGTGTCTCATTAAGTCTCCCAGGATGACTTCGAACTTGCAGTTCTTTCTCAGCCTTCTAAGTCCCTGGGATTATGGCATGTGCTTTGGTGCCCTTTCATGCTTAAGGAATCATTCTGTCTCTTAATCTCTGTGAGAGCATGACTTCTTTCTTACATACGGTCAGCTAGGTGTTTTTGTAAGAGTTCAGCTGTGTCAGTAAGTGGGAAATTTTTATGGAGGCAATCTACTTGGGAAAAGTAGCAATTATTTAATATTGCTTTTCTGCAGGCATTACCTTTTCATATTTCCACAACCCAGCCAGCTGTTCTTACAGCATGGAAGAAATGAGTTTTATTTGTATGCTTTTATTTCACTTTGATTCCTTTCACATTTTCCCCTTCTTTTTCATTTATAATAACAAGATAATTGTATTGAAAAGAGGCTTGGCCTTACCACTGAGAAGGAGGGAAATTTTAACTTTGATCTCTTTAGGTTTACAACTGGGCTGCATCAGTATGCTTTAGAGTTATAGGAATGCTCTAAAATTGTGAGTCTGGTGAGAAAATGTAATTTTAGAGCCAATTCTACAGGTGCAACATAGACAAGTTGTTCTAATCTGAAGACTTGTCTATAGAAGTCTATAGTCTGAGAGGCTGAGAGTGAGTAAATAATCCTTTCTTTTTAGATCTTCATCTGCTGGTGGACGTGGCCTGCAAGCARGAGCACTTTCCAAAGGAGGAAGAATTAAAAGAGTGAGGAATGGATGACAAATGTGACATTGTGCACTAGCCGTAGCTGGAGGCAGACTAGTCTTGCACATGACACACTGTTGGGATTTTTTCAGTTCTGTTAAGGAAAAAAAATATTTTTTGTTTTGTTTATTGAGAATTTTGTTAATTGAAAATTGGGAGTTTGGTATTTACTACAACTGTTCAGTTCAGATTGTTTACCTTGACAAACTACTAAACATCTAGCAGCCATTTTTTTTTTTTTTTTTTTTTTTTGCTGCCCAGATTCCTTTCAAATGAAAAGTCCTGGCCTTCTGTTACAGTGAAGAAGCATCTAAAAACTGCTGCATCTATGGTACTGGAGCATAATGTGTGCGTGCTGAGTTGTCTTGCCACTCTCAAACGGTAGTCAGCACAACTCCAATGGGGAGTTCAGTCTATCTGTTTCAAGTCACAGTGTGATCCTTTTATAGAAGATTGTGTGAAAAACAAAGACACGTGAGGTCACCGAGATCACAGRTCTAAATGGGTCAGGAATTCCAGGGAAGAAATTTTGGTAAAGAGCTAATTTTCCAAGTGATTAACCAGGAAATTCTCTTACTTCCTAACCTAGCATTCTGTTCCAAGAGCAAGGCATCCGGACTTAGACCATCCATCACACTTAACAGCCCCGATTCTTTTATATTAATGAGAGCATTTTTCTATTTTCATATCTTTCTTTAATTTTAATGATACATTGTCATAAATGGTAAGGTTTTGTTAATATCACTTACTTAAATGTCTTCTAAAGAAAAATATTTAAATTGTTTAATGTAATTGTATTCATAAATGCTGGTAGGTTTAAAGGTTTTAAAGCTTTATTTTTATTAATATTGCAGGATAGAAGGATAAAGGATGCATGTGTAATATTTTTATTTTGAAGGGGAATGTACAATGTGTGAACAAAAACATTAAGAGATTTTACATAGTGTTTTCTTATTTTAGATTTTTACATTCAGCAAGTACAAATCCTCATATATATAAGGTATTGTGTACAAATTCGGGGGAAATCTGATTAGTTGTCATTTACCAGAAGCTGTGCTCCAGTATTTTTTCTGTATATATCTGGTTTGAGCTTCTAAGAGAATTTTAGATAGTGGGATGGACTATAATCCCCTCTATAGGTTTCTACATTTGAGTAGTAGGATTGTGGGACTGTTATGGAGAAGACATCTTAGATGTCCATATTCTGTGGTTGTTCCTTTATTTGCCTGTCCAATGACAGCAAGAACCTTTCTGATTTAGAGTCTTTTAAATTGACTAGAACTTTTCTTACTGTATTATGCCTTAGTTTTCCTAGTAAACAAAAGGAAAGCCTAGGAATATGAAACTAATAAAAAAGGCATTTAGTGATATGACGTAAATACTTTGCTAGACATTGTGGATGTAACAGTTCATTTCTTATATTGCATTGTGCCTTTCCAATGATGTCAAGCCCTAGAAGTATTACAGAGATATGGCTCTTTTGGAAAAGGGTGAGCTTTGTATTGGTCTGCAGTGACTCAATTAAGATATGGTAGTAAGTTCTGAAGAGATGTCTGGTTTTTCTGTTGTCCATGTTATGGGCATTTATTCATCTTTATTAGCATGGCTTAAAAGATGGACAAATTATCAAGACATCTACATTTTTTAKCCAGGCAGTATATTTTGGCAGAGTACATGAAGAGGAGACCTTATTTCCTAATGAGAGAACTTTGCTTTTCTCTGTCATATTGAAGAGTTGGTGAAATGTCTTAAGTGATACTCCTTCCCTTTAATATGCCTTTCTTAGCTTTATATATGTTGAAAGAGATAATATTATTTGAGGAACATGTGTCAAGCAGGAACCTTGGCATAGATTTGGTTTCAATGGTTTTAAGGCTTAATTAATGAAATGCCTTGATCAGCCTTCCAAACTTTTTTATATATGTATACAACAGACTAAGGAGCTGGATCTCCTGCTATACTCACATGCCTGGTACCTATCAAATAAAGCTATCATCAATGACTTGGGCAAAATGGCAAGAGGTAAAATAAAATCTTCATGTGAATTAGCCAGTAGGGTCTGACACATGCTAACAAGGTTCCTGACTAGCACCTCAGTATTTCAGCACCTTAAGCACTGATGAATTTCAGTCAACAATAAAGTGAGTGTTCCAACTAGACTTGTGTCTTGCTTGTTTTTCCTGTTTTATTGGTGATAAATAGAAAACTCCATCATTATAATCATTAATTATTCTAGTAAAATTCAAAATAGAACATACTATGTTTTAAAAGAATCTGATTTTTAAAAATTATCCTGACTTTTTTTCCATTTGCACTTGAGTAGAGATTGAATTTAAAAAACTGATATATTTTTAATACCTTTTTAAAAATTTATTCATTTTTATGTGTTGCTGAGGATCGAACCCAGTGCCTTACACATGGGTTCAAGTGTGAAGTAGGCAAATGCTCTACCACTGAGCCACAACCCCACCCCCTAGATATTGAATTTTTAAAATGTCATTAAGTATAAGGACAATTCTTAGACCTCATGTCTAAAATTAGATTGTAGATGTCAGTGAGACAGACTTTTCATTACCACACAAACACCATCTTTACGACATCTCTGGGAAAGTGTTGTGGTCTATCAGCCTTTGAAGAATAACTTTAATTTTGAAGCCAGGGAATAATTTCTCTTGCTTCTCCATCCTGGTGACCTAAATAAACACATGATATCAGTAAAATAAACTTCATAGAGCTGTTTGGCTTGATCCTGCCTATCTCTAGGTCCCCAGTTTCATAATATGTATCATCCTCATTTCCAGATATCAAGGTTTCCTCAGAGAAGAGAGTTTGAGGGCACTAGTTACATTTGTAATTTTTTTTCAACTGTGTATATTAAACTATTAGATTATTTTCAAGCAGGAAAAAATGAGGCAAAGTCCATTTGTAGGTAATTATTTTAGTTTACTTTTCAAGATGATTTTATATATRTATCAACTTTCAAGATAATTTTGCATATGTCAGTGATATATAATGATGTGTATTTCCAGTATTTATGCTGTATAAGTACGTGATGTACATAAAATAAAAAATACACAGTAATAAACTTTTAAATTTTTTCTATAGCATCCAAACAAGGCTGAAGCAGGAGGATCTCAAGTTCAAGCCCAGCCCTATGTGAGACCCTGTCTCAAGATAAAATTTAAAAAGAGCTAGAGATGTAGCTCAGTGATGGAGCATCCTTGGGTTCAATTCCCAGTACCCCTGGACAGACACAAACACACACACACACACACACACACACACACACACACACACCTCTTCAGAATTAGAGCTCATGCTATTTCTTAGGAAAGGAACTGCCAAATATCTCTATTGCATTATGTTCTTAAGGTCCAAAAAGGAAAGGAAAAGTGCTAAATTAAGAATTTATTTTAACTGGGTATGTGGCACACACCTCTAATTCCAGCAACTCTGAAGGCTGAAGCAGGAGGATGGCAAGTTCAAGATCAGCTTCAGCAACTTAGTGAGACCCTGTCTCAGAGTAAAAAATTAAAAGGGCTGGAGATGTAACTCAGTGAAAGAGTGCTCTTGGACTCAATCCCTAGTACTAAAAACAAAAATATCTACTTTTTGAACTTACCTCTGTTCCAAACTAGTTATTAGGTCTAAAATTCTGAAACCACTTTCATAAACCTTCTAGCAGAAGAACATGCAAGTTAAATAGGCCACTTACACTTCTTGTTTTTAGAGGCATGTCGTTTAATCTTTATAACAAACCTAYAATGCAATTATTATCCACATTTTATACATGACTAAACAGGGTCATTTGTATATGAGGTAAAGAATATAAGATTTATCATAACTTTTTTTAAGTGTATACAGTTCAATAGAGTTAACTGTATTCCCATTGTTGTTGTTGTTAAAATTTTGAAAGTTTTTGTCAGCAGTCCAAAAATATAATGTTTGATTACCATCAAATATAATCTGATAAACTTGAAAATTTAAATATTAAAAGCATGTTAGAAACTTTGGCATTATTTCTAATGGCAAGGTTASTATATAAGGGTTATAGTTGATGAATGAGGTAATTAACTGAAAATTAGTGGGGTTTTGCCCACATTCTTCTCATTTAAGCATATTTTACCTTTAGTTTGTATTAATGATAGACTTTCTTGTAATCTTACACTGAGAGCAGAGGTCTGATCTATAGTAGTATTTCACTTTGAAGAGATTCGAGAAGGAAATAACAGTTGGATTCCAGATCTCTGACATCAGCCTGATCTGAAAACTTCATACAGGCATAGTTTAGACAGAGCTACTGAATTTGAATTAATAAGAGCGAAGAAAAACTATGCATATAGTGGGCAGAATCCTTCCCTGCTTAGCAGATCTAAGCAGCAATAAATCAGTAAGTACTATAGTATAGGATCACTTTATTCTGGCTTTGTGCCATTTGTAGACACTAAAACCCAGAAAGACCAGAAATCCCTTTGAACTTATATTTGAAAAACCTTGTGTCCATTCTTTTATCTTTTGGAGTTCTTTTATTTTTTCTGTTTATTTCCTCATACCACCGCCTGTTGGGTGCAGAATCTGCTTGGATATATTCCAGCGGCCTCAGCTTACATGTGGTAACTTGCTTACCCAGAGAAAGGTCTGGAGGACTGAATTGGATGCAGTTGGGCCTTGGCTCACTAGAGGGAGCAGAGGACCCGAGAGAGGAGAGAGGGAGAGAACGTGTCTGGTTAAGTGTGGTGTGTGCGCACCAGGAGGAGGAGGGCCSGGTGGGGGTGGCTGCCTTTAACTGCTCCACCCTCACTTTGTCAGCAGGTAGAGAGCGTGATTGCAGTCCTAGGGGAGGGAGTCAGAAGTAGAACACCAATTACAAACCACAGGCTTCCTGCTCTAGGGAGTTGATCCAGAGTTGTCTTTCTGAAAAGGAAGCACTCGAATCCTTCCGAACTTTCCAAGTCCATCCATGATTCAGAGATATTGCCTTCTCCCTCTGGGATTTTCTGTTTCTGGTAGTGAATTGTTGCTGATATATTTGCTACTTGTGCTTCTTTTCTCTTTCAAGATTTGATTATTTAATGTGCTGTTCGGAGAGAAAAAGAACTTTTGTTAGAAAGGAGATTTCAGAAGTGATTTTGGATCGTCTATAAGTGTTTTTAGAGTTCTTGGGGACAGTAGCTCTCACCCTGGAATAAGTTTCTGCCTTTGATCTGCATGGATTATTTTTTCAGACTGCGGAATTTCTCGTCACCTACTTGTAGTATGGGGCACTTGGTTTGGTTGCAGAGTAAGAAGGTGGAAGAATGAACTGTACTTGGTTAAGCAGTTCAAACCTTTTTTGAGCAGGATCTATAAAAGCATAATTGAATTTGTCACCCCCGTGGATTCCAGTGGGCCCAACAGCGCAACAGGTTTGCAGATTTCTTTTGAAATTCTTTTTTTTTTTTCTCCCTCTGCCTCAGAAAAAGAAAAAAATCTCTATAGTAGGTTCATATTCAGTTGCTCRGCTTTTCAGCACTTATTTTGAAGACTTTATATGATTTTTAAACTTGACCCTGGAACACAACGGGTTTTGTGGGTGAAGTGCACTTATGTTTACTTAAAGGTGCACATTTAAAAACCTTATTCTGTGTTTATCCAAAGCTCCCAATTCGTATATGTGCTTACAAATAGCACAGATCTACCCAGGCTTCATTGTATTTTTTCARGGTGTTCTACTTAAAGCCTGTGACTAATCACCTTCCTAATCCCCCTATCTTTTATTCCCCACCCCCTCAAGGAATTTGAAAACGTGTTAGGAATAGTCCTTTGTTTTTCTTATGAATTTAGAAAATTACGGATTATAAAATCTGGATATTACTTTACCAAAGCATCTCATGGGAAATCAAAGTGCTTGGCATTCCCAAGCTGGAGAGTAGAATTTGGAATCCCTAAGAGAGAAACGAAAACGGAGATAGAAATATGAACTTTAACTGGGAAAGATAGTTGGAAACTATACCCTTTTCATATATTCTAATTTTCAAAGTTAGAAAAGGTTGTGATGTTCAGGATTATCCATAATGTGTGAGGATATATAAATTAGCACCTAATTTATAGGCAACTTTAAGAAAACCCCCCAAATTATAGTATGTCCAAGTTTATGAAAAATATTTAAATTCAATGGACCTAGAACTTTGGGCTACAGTGAAATTCAATTTAACATGGAAACTTCTCTGTGTGCTGTAGCATCTTTGGACATCCCTCAAGGTGTGGCATGAATTTTTTTATCATTCCGTCTCTTCCCCTATTAAAAAACAAATCTCCTGTGGTCTTTAATTATTTACAGTTGACACATTTTGTGGCTTAAAAGGGCCACTTCTCCATTGTCTAAGCTGGAGTTCTTCACTCTCACYTTTGATGCATGGCCTTAGCTGTTTACTTTGTCTTGTTTTGTTCATCAACATTGGGGTTAGTTGGTCGACAACTTGATGCATATGGAAGACCAACACCAAGTGATCTGACATAATAAAAATTCATAATGTGACGTTCAATTTCAAGCAAAGTTGGAAATTCCAAAAAGAAGTGGTGGTTTTTTTGCTAGTCAGAGTGAAAATGGAAGAAAATGACATACCTGCTGCAGAAGTGGGCTGAAAACAGTCTTCTCTGCCCAATCAGGAATGCCACCTGTTCTTGGGAATATACTGTAGAGAAAGGAAGGGTCAAAACTGTGACTTGGCTTTCAGAAACAGAAGCATAAATTTTCTCTTCCTGCATTTGTCTGGATCTGAGAACCTGCACTTGGTGTTAGCCAGTGGAAGCAGTATGTATGGCCGAAGTGCATTGCTGCAGCTGGTAGCATGAGTGGTAGCCACCAGCTGCAGCTGGCTGCCCTCTGGCCCTGGCTGCTGATGGCTACCCTGCAGGCAGGCTTTGGACGCACAGGACTGGTACTGGCAACAGCGGTGGAGTCTGAAAGATCAGCAGAGCAGAAAGCTATTATCAGAGTAATCCCTTTGAAAATGGACCCCACAGGAAAACTGAATCTCACTTTGGAAGGTGTGTTTGCTGGTGTTGCTGAAATAACTCCAGCAGAAGGAAAATTAATGCAGGCAAGTATAATTTTATTATATTTCACTTTCCATCTGTTTGAAACATGCCTTTCTTCTTTTGTCTCCCAAACCAAATACCATACAAGGGCTTCTGCCGCTTAGCTTTCTGTTTGTTCCATCCTTTAAGGATATTGCCTTGTTGGCATTCTAAAGCAAATTATTTTATGCTCAAGAAGAAATACATAAATTCTATATTTTAGAAGATTATTTGTTTATTTTTAACTGGTATTGCATTGCTTTTTTAGAATCACATAATAAAACCTTCCTTCATAAGTCATATATTCTGGGTACTATTTTTTGATAAATGAAATATATGGGCTTATATTTAATTGATCTCGGGATTATAGTTTACTTCCTGTTAAAAATCTGAATTGAGCACTAAGGAGGTTGATTTTAATGGTCAGCAGCACCTTGAAATTCTAGACTGCCCTTGAAGCATATTTGAATATAGTGTCACTTTTAAAATTCAGTCAAGCTTGAATGGTACGACTGGCTTTATACCACGTGTGGCACCCTATTGCTAAGCCCAAAATGGAGAGGACTGGATTACAAAATGGACACAAAGTGTAAACCTGTTTCCTGATCCCTTTGGTCTTATCCACACATGATTTTATCACTTTCTAAATTTTAACATCTGTCTTTTTCTTGACCCACAAAGTTTTTCAGACACAGTTGCTTAGGCATTCGGACTGTGAATTTTGCCTGTAACTCATTCACAACTAACTATTCCTTATGTGTCGAATTTATGAACTGATTGGGGCCATAGCTTTTCATAGCCAATTCTCATTCCCTGTGGTGAAAACAGAGCTTAGTGGGGCTGTATCTTTTTAATGGGCATTCTCTTGTCTTATTCCATAAAATGGTGTTGCTGATTGATAAAAGCATATAATTTTATAAAATGACACTTTTTGCTGTAGCTCTTTGGACACAGGTTAAAATGTCCTTAAATATGATCAATCTCAGCATCCAGCTCAGATTTTTAATTTTATGATTATGTATGGACTATAAACAGAACCAAAGTATTATATGAATTTAAGTTTTCATTTACTTAGAAAAAGAAGGTAGGAAAACAAAAAATTTATAGAATTCTTTTCCAAATTCAAGTTTTTAAATATATGGKTTGATAGTTCTTCCTTACATTTCTTTGGCAGTATTTTAAAGCTGGGAAAATTATTTAGAAGAAGAAATGGGTAAAATGGATGGTTCTAGTATTCAGAAAAATAAACAGGAAAGAAGAGTATATCTGAAAAAAATGGTGTTAAAATTTTTTGGTTAAAATGTCAGTCATTTAATTTAGATTCTAGAATGAAACTGGGAATACTTAAAAATTGAAATAAGAAATCATTTAGAATGTAACCATTGGAAAGGAAACTTCCTTACTTTGCCTCCTTAATATCCTGAAGCATGAAGTGTATGTTCAATTTTAATCTTTAGCATAAATAATTTTCTTTAAAGTCATATTTTTATATCTCTGAAGTCTTGGGAACTTTGTGCCTTATGCCCTTTTGATAGCATGTTCAATTGATTATAGGCTGCTTAAACTAGTTTTCTCTTTTATTTTAAACTTCTTATCTTCTATTATTATAGAGCTCTATATAAAACTTCTGTTTTTTTTTTTTAATAAAGGAACAGGTAAATGAGAAGCACCAGTTGGCATTCTGTTTGCCTTCCTTTTTTATTTTATCAATCTGTATATCCTCTCTTATTTTGCCCTTTTTCTACTCCAGCAAATATTGCTGATTGTTTTTTTTTCCTTCTAACTATGACACTCTCAGTATACTTTAAGTATTACAGTATTGCTTCTTTAYTTTCTAAGGAAGGAATTTCACTGTATTTTAGCAAGGACCTTCAGATTTTATCCTGGACAGTTATACATCAGCAGCAATTTTAAGTCTTTACCTTTTCTGTCCATTCATACCGCTTATGGTCATTAATAAATTTTATGCTATCCTAAAATTAGTCTCTGGACACATTCAGAATTGGTACTGGTTTATTGCATGTTAATCAGTTGTTTAGTACTGGTCCTGGTTTATTGTGTGTTCATCAATTTTTAATCCACACCAGTTACTAAATTTTCTTAATTGCCTTTTATGAGAAACTTTATTTTTAAAAAACAGAGAGCAAMCTTGTGTATTGTATGCATTGTTTTTTCTTTATCTACCATTTGATTAACTATTTCAAAGAACTCTAGTGTGTTGGGGACACATGGTTTACACTTCCAGAATCTGTGCTGTTTGTTCCTTATCAGATTACATGCAACTCAGGTTTACTCAACTGTGGTTAACCAGGCCTTCCATTTAACTGAAGATCCGTTTATATCTTCTACATTTGTGCTTTGTAGCACTTTGGCTTTCTTGATGAATAGCTATACCCTAATGTCACAAATATAAAGATAGTCTTCTATATTGACTTTGAGAAATTTCGGATAATTCTGTATATCCTCCTACCTACAAATTATTCTAGCTGCCTGTTAAAATTAGTCATCTCCAAAGACAGRGTCAGATCTTTGTAAAATTGGGGTGTCATGTGCTATAAAACTGAAAGGTATGAAAACAGTAATTTAAAAAAAAGAATTTAAAAAAAATATAAAAAAGGATAACATTGTGGTTTTGGGACTTCACCGAGAGTTTCTGAAAATAAAACTTTACATTTTGCTCAGTTAATTCAGGGTATGTATCTCACAGGGACCAAATTAACTGGATTTTCATTTATATTAAATTTTAACTTTTCTTAGACAAAGACTGTGCTTCCAATTTAATAATAAAATAGACTGTAGAGGGCTGGGGTTGTGGCTCAGTGTAGAGCGCTTGCCTAACATACATGAGGCACTGGCTTCAATCCGCAGCACCACAAAATAAATAAATAAATACATAAATAAATAAATAGACTGTAGAATTGGCTCTAAAATAATTTGTCTCAACTTTATCTGATGGCTGTACATACAAGAGCATTGAAAGCCAAGAATTGATTAATTTTTCCCCTGATTCTTATCCTTCACCCTGTGTGCTAGGATTTTTCTTTGCCAACAATACTCTCCATTTTATAAGGTGTAAGTTTTAAATATTGATATTCTTCTAAAAGTACTAAAATTCAAAATGAAAGAGGAATGTTGCCTTTATTGTATATTTTTCTATTTCTGAATCTTCTCTTTTCCATGCAAAAACTCCCTATCTTAGTCTTAACCAAATTGTGTTACTTTCTATTTTGCCGGAAAGCTTTTTCTTCACTTTACTATATCATTTCAAATCTCCGAGCTGGTTTACTGTTGTCTTTAAAGTGTCTAATTCATAGATTTCCCTTACATTTGCCAAAATCTTTGTTCCTTCCTCTTCTTTAATTCCTTTCTACCTTTCTTTCCTTTTGTTTTCCACTCAATTTGTATATTTAGGATAGCCTTCCCCTGCTAGTATTTCTCTTACTAGTCATCAAAAAAACAGGACAAGAAAATGTTCCTCATCTCCTACTTTCTTGGTGGTGTCTGATAAAAAGGACGACATGATAATGATTACAACTGCTTACTATTTTTATATTCATTTGACTATTTTTTTCCTTTTTTATACTGAAGAAGGAAAACATACTTTGTCTCATTTCCAGTTTTCTGAGTTGTTTACCTTTTACCAATGTTTGTTTCTATTATTTCTAGTAATGTTGCTACAATTTCCAAAAATTGTTGTAGTCATTTATTCTTTATTAAGTATTATTTAGAAGGACAATGCAAAATTAATCTCCTTTCTTCTTAGACTAAAAACGAAGAGGATCCTAGTATAGCCCAACAGAGGTCACCAACTCTGTAACTATCACATTCTTCCTGCTCAGCTGGTTGTCCTGGATTTTCTTAGACTCCAGGATAAAGTTATGATCAAGATTAGAATGTACTGCCCTGAGGCTGGTGACCTACAGTGGGAGCAGGGTGGTTTCACGTTTGGCCAGGAGCAATAAACAACTCCTCCTGGACAAATTCCCCTTTGCAAAATGTCTGTGCTTGCCTCTTAATTTTACTTATTAGTTAATGCATAATTATCACATCTTTGAATTTTTACTTTATTTGTAGTCAGGCCTTGAAACTTTTAAATTAAATTTTTAAATTTTGGGCCAGAGTTAGATAATCCTGTGTAGCAAAGTAATTGATAAAATGACTAAACTGCAATTCAAAGTTTTTGACTTTCAGTTCTGACCTAGACATTAAATAGTTGTATGATTTGTGAAAAAATAGTTTTTACCTTTCTAGGTTTTAGATTCCTTGCCTGTGATATTAAGATATTGAAACCTAAATAGCTACCAAACTGATTCTATGTACTCTACATGTTTTAGCTCTCTAGATTTTTATAACTTCATGATAGAAAAAGTTCAGTGCTTTTCATTTCCACATTTTACAGATAAGGAAACTGAGGACTTAAGTGTTAATATTTGTCAAAGCATTAACTAATATTTGCAAGAAAGTGGTATAGCTGCAACTCAAACTGCAGAACCCATGGTTTTCCAGCTCTAAGTTTCTGTACATCTAAGAATGTCACAGGTGACTAGAACACCAGAGTAGGTTTTATATAATTAGTTCCAAAGTAGAAAGGAATGAAAGTGATGTGTACCGTTGTCTGAGTTGATCCAGAATACACAGCATCCTGCTACCTTCTAAAAATCTCCATTTCTTCTATTTTTTTCTCATTTGGTATTTCATTTCCACAGATATGAGCAAATCAGAATCTTTATTCAGTATCTACATTTGATTAACTTTCTCTTCGTTTTAAAACAGCCTACGATGACTACTAAAAGAGGAACTTGAAATAATAAACTCTGAAAATAGCATGTATTTAATTGGCATTGCTCAAGTTAGAGTTCCTTGGATGCAGATTTCAGAGTGATTTTGCGATTTTACTTTGATGCCAGCCTTTAAAAGAAGTATAGAATAAATATTGAAGACATAGTCAACTCACAGTYATGTTAATGGAGGTGCAGAGAATCCAATTAATTGCCAATTGACTTTGGAATGTAGTCAGAAGTAC